TGCAAGCTTAATGATCTGTCTTTCTGTATCATTTTCTCATGCAATGACAGTTTAACAGCTTTCTTGGTTGAATTGTGTTAAAATCTTTAAAGGCTACATTCACTAAAACATATGTCCAGTTTTGTGCAGCCAAAGTCTGTGTAATCATTTTAAGGAGATATAACTTAGCAGCTGTTATCATCTCAGATAGCCTGTTGTTTAAGCTATGTTAAAATGCCATCATTTTGGAGCCTATTAATTCATAACAATTTTTGTCTGGAATGATCTGAAATACACTCCTGTACGGATTTTGCTAAGAAAGCATATGCTAAAAAGGTGACTATGCTTAATATCATTAATTAAACAATTATTCTAATAGATTTAACTTTTCTTTGTGTCTACCATGTTTGGAATATTCTGCTACTTATTATCGAAAATAGCTTAATTTATGGCCATATAAAGACATATGCATAAGAAATGGCCAGTGGGTAGATCATGGAGTGGCCAAGTCATTCTCAGAAGTTCTATTGGAAGTGTGATCTGTGATTTTTCTGTTGTTAGCAGTGTCTTGTGTTCAATACCAAGTTTTTGATTGATCTGCTTGTGATAGGAGGCTACTGATACACTGGTGGAGGGAATGAATAACTTCCTGGTGATGCTATATGGGAGAAATTGGAGCAGAGCAGTGTTGACTGTTTTAGCAGTCACAGTCTGGTTAACTCTATGCCTTGCAGAACCATTTTTCAAGTTGTTGTTTTTACAGATAATCTGGAGTTATTGTGAAGGACAAATGATTTTTGTTTTATAGTATAGGATGATGCAGAGAACAGTTCTTTACAGTCCGAATCTTAAATCATGTGGCAATGTAGGATTAATACAGAACTTCTAACTGCAAAGTCAGCGGTTCAAACCCACTGGCTGTTCCTCAGAAATCCTAAATAGGGTTGCTAGGAGTTGGAACCAGCTTGATAGCACATAACAGCAACAACAATCCTTAACGGGCTTAACTCACCTTGGTTCCACTTGTCACCTTTCTCTTGCTGGCACTCCGCCTGCCTTTGGCTTAGAGTACAGGAGGCCTTCTTAGAAGTAAATGGCTGAAGCAGCAGATACTGGGAAATCCAGCCTTACTTGGTATTCTTTCCTGGCTTTGATAGTTTCAGCTTTCATGTTAAAAAATTGTTTAAACTCTTTTAAATGTTTTTCCCAAGAGAAAAATAGAATTTTTCTAAAGAAATAATATTTAAAATGTTATTCATATTTCTATCTATATTTTTTAAAGGTTAATGAATACCTCCATTGAAAAGCACCATATTAATTTTACTAAGTACATCATAATATTAAATTTAGTTAAATTTTCCTGCAGCTGCATGTCATTTGCTTAGATGTATGAAAATCAAATGTCTGAGCAAGTTGAAAAAGTATGTTGTTTTGTAGGTTTTTGTAGTACCTCATCACATTATTAAAAAGTGTTAATAATTTCTTACAGTGCTATAGAAAATAAATGTGTGAGTTTTAGTAAATTAAAATTATAACTATAAAAAGCTTGTATTAACTTTAATTTTTATCTTCTGCCTGTGAAATGGCTGACTTTTATTCAAAACAATCTTCAATATAATATATACTAATGCTCTAAGGGTATGACTGTGAAAATATGTGTTGCATTTAAATTTTGGTATTTTTTCCAAATCCTGATGGAGCTTTATTTAATGCATTTTGATAATTTGTAAGTTCTAGAGATGATCTCAATAAGTCAGAATAAACTTAAGTCCTGTACAAATGAAATGAGGTAATGAAAGGAAAAGGCTCAGCTCAGTGCCTGGTATAGCAATCCCTGTGACAATTATGATTTCTGATTTGGTCCTTAAATTTTGATACCTCTCTTGTGACTGCACTGTCTCCTTTTTCTCTGGTTGTACACAGTAACAATTTCCACAAAAGTATTATTCCTTTCCGTTGTATCTATTTTCTATCTCTTGGTGTTTATGGAATTACTTCCATGTGTGTCCGTGTAACTCTTCAACTGAGAAAACCGTGTTTACATCAGACACGTTCAAAGCATGAGGTGTGGAGAGAATGGGACTAGAAAACTGGCTCCCTATATTTTGCTTGTACCTGTTTGCTGCTAGAGTTTAAGTGAAACTAGTCCTGGGAAATCATGACACAGTGACTGTATCCTAACACGTATCTGTGACCATTAATATGAATGCATTCTAATTACCAGGAAATGTTTCCCATGAGGAAAACAAAGACTTTCCCCTTTTTAAAAAAAATAATGAATTGGGGCTTATTAGGAATTTTTTTACCAATATAAAAAGTCATAAAGTGAAATGCAAAGTCCATGCCCCACACTTCCTTTAATGCCATTCCTCAGCACAGACTGTTTACACACATGTTGTTGTTTTTAAGTGCCATTGAGTCGGTTCTGACTCATAGTGACCTTGTATAGGGTTTCTGAGGCTATAAATCTTTATGGGAGCAGAAAAACCTCATCTTTCTCCCATAGATAGATGTTGTTGTTGTTAACTTCCATGGAGTCAGTGCCAACTCATATTGACCCTGTATAGGGTTTCCAAAGGAGCGCCAACTTGAGGTTAGCACTCAGGTGTTTATCTACAGCACCACACTTGAATTCCAGTATAGATTGTTGTTGTTTTGTAGTGTTGAATCGGTTCTAATTCATAGTGACCCTGTATAGAGTTTCCAAGGAATAGCTGGTGTGTTTGAACTGCTGACCTTGAACTTTAAACCTACCTTTCTATCCATTGTTTATCCTATAGTGCCATACTAGGATTCTATAGATAGATTGCTGTTGTTAAGTACCATTAAGTCCATTCGGACCCATAGCGACCCTGTATAGGGCTTCTGAGGAACTGCTGGTGTGTACAAATGCGTGTGTGTCTTACTCTAGTCCTTATCTCTGTGATTGTTGTTTTAACAAAAATGGATTATATTGTTAGGCAACATGATTATTTTATCAATTAGCTTGGTCATCTTTTATGTTGATATATGTGTGTGTGTGTGTGCGCGTATGCACACAGTATCATATTTTTGTGGTGCTCTCTTATGTTGTTGTTGTTGTTACATGCTGTAGAATGGGTTCCAACCCATAGTGACCGTGTAATAGGGTTTCCGAGGAGTAGCTGGTGAGCTTGAACCACCGACCTTGCAGTTCAAACGGCTTTGCAGTCTGGCGCATTAACCTGCAGCGCCACACAGGACTCAGTGCTCTCTTATTGGGATAGTTTATTTAGCCATTCTCCTGCTGAAGGATACTCAGAATGCATCCAAATTTTATCCATGTGACTTGCACCCCAAAGGGTCTGTAAACTTTTGTTCTGGGTACATCTATGCTTTGTTTCCCATTATATTCTGTACTTCACAGGAAGCTTAGGCTTTGGGTTGCTTGTCAGTCCTTAGGGACCCTTGTAAATGCTATCATTTGACCTTAGATGGACCTCACTTCAGATAAAAAGGACTAATCCATTGTTAAGACAATAGCAGCATTTTTAGAGAAGTTTCTCATTTGTACTGACTAGAAATTTAAGATGCACCATCTCACTTGGATGGATTTTTGATATGACATTTTAGGCACTTTTAAGTTGGTAGAACTCCAGATTGCAGAGCTGTGGGGAAAAGTCTGATGGTTAAATCTGCCTTTCTTTCTTTTTAAAAAAATTCAAACCATTGAGCCTTAAGTTCAGGACATCTTTTAGAAAATAAAATGCAATTGTTTTTTAATGAAATTTTTGTTTCTTTATATTTCTGTGCAGATGTATTAACTTTAATGCATGGTTTTCAAAAACAGCGTAATTTATCACACTTACAAAAAGCTAAATGCCAGTAATCCAAGTTTAGTGTTTTTTTGTGACAAAGGAATATTAGTTAAGGTGTTAATAAAATTTTATGCCCTTAGTCACCATTTACTTATTAGATATATTGTTGTTGTTGTTGTTGTTAAGTGCCGTCGAGTCGGTTCCGACCCATAGCATATATATAGCACCTTATTTTGGCATAACTGCTGATCATATCTTGGGAATTAACATTTGTTGGCTGAAAATGCTTCTTTTAAATTCTAAGCTGTAATTGCCTAGAAAGAAGGAAAAATTTCAATTTATGTATATCTCCATTTGTATTTTTTTGTTTAGAAGATTTTATTTCATAGTCATATATTAATAACAGAATTTAAGAAAGGTGATATCAAATTATTAGAAATTCCATTTCTCTTTGGTAATCTGGTAATTGTTCAATATATTTTAAGCAGTTGCTTGCTGTTGATTTTAATACTGTTTTACTTTCCAGCACAGCTGGCATTTTGCTATGATATCATTGCTATACTTTTTGATTCATTATTGTACAGAGTATATTATACACAGTGTGAACAACCACATCCAGCAACTGTTAGAAATCCATCTTTATTATTTGTGACATTTTCTATATTAAAAGAATTGTAGTCATTAACAGGATTTTAGTGTACAGGAACTAAAAGGGTTATAATGTTTTTACTTTTGTGGTGATTTCTCCGAATAGCTAGTAGGTTCAGCTTCTTTTTGCTACAACTTTTATGATAGACTGTTTTTGTGGTTTCATTCCCCATAAAACAGTATATTCTAAGAATGTTGTTATTTATAAACTAATACCCCAATGAACAAAAACACTTTTATTGTTGATGTAATATAAAAGAAAAATAAATATTTTATATGAAAATATGAAATAATAATTCAGTTATTAGCAAAAATATTTTATAATGATGGATTTCTATTTTTAGCAACATACAATGAATAGCAAATCTTATTTTTTCTTTTATAATTATAAGCAATATTGAAAGCTTTTGTAAATACGGAAATCAGAGAACTATCAAGTTGAAAGAGAATTGTAACTTTTTTGTAATATAATAGGAATGTGGATTTTCATAATATCTACTGAATTTAAATGATTATGTTTATTACTGAATTAAAATTACCATCATGAACTTGAAATTTATGGACTCTTTAGCATTAGGTTTTCCTTCTCTTTTTCAGTCTGTAATCAAAACTGGGCGGCTGCTGATCAGTCATGAGGCTCCCTTGACAGGCGGCTTTGCATCGGAGATCAGCTCCACAGTTCAGGTAGAGTAACTTTTTGGCACCAGTTCTAAAGTTGTGCTTCTGCAAACATTTTTCCAGGAGGAAAATTTACTTATCACAATATATGCACTTTTGGAAATCGACAGTTCTCCATTCTTACCCTACATATTCTTTAGTTAATGGTCTAATTATGCCATCTATAAAAGAAATCTTAAAATAATAAAAGCTAAAAACAAATCCTTTCTGGAAAGAATGTTTGTGTTTAATAAACCAACTTCACTAAGTTTGTAGGTTCATGTGAAAAAGAAAGTCTTTTTATTTCAAATATTTCTCCTTTAACAAAACTTAAGATTGTTCTAAAATATGTTGATTGAAATTGACCTTTGATTTTTACATTCATAGTAAAAGAATCTGTTAAGTCAATAGTTAAAATGTAATAATTTTATAATAATTATTTTAATTTAATAGTTTAATAATCAAATCATGACATACAATTGGCAGTGCTTTAGAAATGATATAATAATGTATCTTTTTAAATTTATTCACTTAAGATGCTACTTCTGAAAAAAAATTCCTAAATACTACTTTCTGGGGGATTTTTCTTTACAACTTCTATTTACATTTGTATTACAGGTACGAATATGATAGTTTAAAGGTGTATTCTTTTTTTCTTATATTTTACATTTTGAAATTCAGGCTATTAATATGATTTTTTATATTCAGAATATCTTTACAGTTTATAAGTATTTTATTTTTATTGGGGTTAAGATGCTTTTATTATTAAGATACATTTAAGTGCAGCATTCTTTAGTTTAATAACTAGATATAAAATATGATTTATTAATAATAGTAGGTTTTTATTTTTAAACTTTTAATTATCAAACCATTATTTCTACCAATATCTTTTAAATGCAAATTAGCAAAATCATGTGAAGTAAATAAAAATAATTTAAAGCTAGATCTAAAGAATATATAATTACATTGTCAGAAACAGTATTATACTATTATTTTTATTTGTTACAATCTCTTCCTAAATTAAAGAAAACAAGTATCCGAGTTGTGTTGATGTAGTGTTTTTCTGTTTTTATCATTTCTCATTAGGTAGCATGAGTATCATTATTTAGTATACATTTTATTCACTGAGTAGGGTACTGCACTAATCCTGTCAATAATGGAGTTTTGCAAGATTGATTCACACTAATACCAAGATTTTATTTTACATCAGTGGTAGAACTGGAAAAAAAAAAACAAAAAAACACCCAGAACTTTTTATTGTTAATATGAAGTCCACTAAACCATTTGAAACACAGTTGCCAGTATAAACTTTGAGAGCTCTGTTCATTTTGTTCATTAAATACTATCTTATTGTTATGGCAGACATTTCATATGCATTTAAATGTAAATGGAAAAATTATAGCATAGTTCAAATTAGAAATGACAATTCTCCTGGTAAATTTTTTAAAGAATGCTTATAAAACTTTTTTCCCCATAAATTTTTGGAAACTGTATTAAGATGCAACATTTTTCAAAAAGAACAAGGATTAGAATAGTTATCTAATCTACTGTCTCTTTTGAATTATATATTGGTTTATGTTCATGGAAAAAACTATCTTCCAGCTCCAAGACTATATTTGTGAATGTCGGTTTGAGAAACACTGTATTAAGGGTTAGACATTATCAACATTACAGTCAGTTAAAACCAATCAGACCATGAGTACAGCCTCAAAATCGTTCTGAAGTTATATGATCAAAATCTGGGATGAACGGTGTAGGTGAGATTATACAGAATATAATCATACTTATATCATAAATATGAAGAAAATGAAACAAAATAAACAACAACAAAAAAGACATCTGGTGGCACTCTCCCAAGAACATACCCAAAGACCCTTGCAGTCTGCTGCATTAACCCATAGCACCACACCAGGACTCCCCATGGACCCGTAGGAATATGTACTCTGTAGTTAGAAAACTATTCATCTTAAAAAACTGTATACGTTTCACAGATAGGCATTTTCTCTCCCGAGTGATTATAACTCACCCAGTTTACGAAGACAGATGATCTGGGACTAGAGCAAGAATTTTGAGTAAATGTTCAGTGTGTGTGTGTGTGTGTGTTTACTTTTATTCAAAGTCCTCCCTGTCCCAAGATGAAGGTAGAAATTTTAGAGTCATTATAAATTGCTTTTTGTTTTCCATGTAAAAATTATTGAACCAACTAACCACAAAATGAATTAGGGCACCTCTGTAAAATCTCTAGAGAAATCTACATTTAACAATGGTGGCATATAGAATTTGGTTTCATTAATAAGAAAATAAATGTGATCAGGAATGTGAAAAGGCAGAGTTGTATTTTCCTCATTCAGATTCTGTTTATACTTACGGAAAATGTAGAAAGTGAATTCTAATAAAATTAAATCATCACAGTATTTGCAAACGTTTGCCTATTGTGGCTCTTTTTATATTGATAATGGAGGGAGGGGAAAAAGCTAGATGCCTTGAGAAATTCTTTCTTCTTTTTTTGAGTAGTGACAGTTACATGTAATTTAGAGTTATCAGAATAATAAAATCTACTTTTCAATTATGTTTTAATGCAGTATTCAACTAAATGTGATCTATTGAGCATTTGCTCTGTAGAAGGCAGTGTTCCCTATTGTAAGTGAACCTTGTATCTGATGTGAGTGCCTTGGATTGTTCAAACTGGAATCACTGATTTGGAACAACTCCTTTTTCTGTATTTCTTTTTGTTGTGCATTTAGAATGTTTTAAAAGAAAGACAAAGATACTGAAAACCAACTTTCTTGAACTGCAGGGAGAATTTTCATTAAAATTTGAAATTATGAATTAGAACATTCTGAAAATTTAAGATGTTTTAGTTGTTGCTGTTACTTGCAGACCTTGCGATTCAAACGGACCTTACAGTCCAGTACATTGACCTGTGGCATTATACCAGGACTTTTAAATTTTGAGTTTTGCTGATTAAAATATATTCTCATTATTGTATCAACAAATGTGATTTGTATATGAAAATGAGCAAAAACAAAACAAAATGTCCACAAATACTATTTCTGTAAGGTATGTGGGAGGTTTAAAAAGCTATTGGTAAATCCTACACAGTTGCTCTGAAAAAAAGCATTTTTAATAGAATAATTGCTAAGAATAAAATTACTCTTTAAATGTGTTCAAATTACAGAACTCCCCTTTCTGTTTTATTTAAAATATTACCTGTGTGGACATCAGAAAACAATATTGCAGAGAACATAGCACGTAGTGGTCTTTTAAGTTTATAGGTGGTCATTTTAGATAGAAAAATTTTATCATGCTATATAAAATTTAATTTCAAATAAAGTAATATATCTTTTTTCCTAGGTACAGGAAGTGTTACTTGCATATCTATTAAAAGATGCTTTCAGTTAAACTTTAAGATGAAATTTAATTCATGACAGATGACTCTCTCATCATATGAGGAGTTCAGTGTCCACATCTTAAGTTTGTTCATACCTGTCATTACTTTTTCCTAAAGCCAGTTATTTTATTAGCTGAAAAAATTGTTAACAGTTTTAGTTTGAACTAATGCTAAATACACACATGTGACCCAAAGACTATATTGAGTAGACATAAAACTTTTTTTTTTACTTATGTTTATCAGTTACTTCTTTGTAAAATTTATAAAAATAAAAAACAGTGCATTCTTACTGGATTTATTTTGGAAGATAACTGGGAAGCAGAATAAGCGGAAGTCCAGTGTATTTGGCCCCCCCAGTAGGGAAGATTTCTTGGTCAGTCATCAAGAGCTTCACTGTCTCTTTTTATCTCATTTTACATTCCCATCTGTTCTCACTTTGGGATAAAGGAACTTTTTCCTTTCATTTGACACATACTGAAACTTGGAGACATGCTTCTTTTAGAGACTGATGCATTGTGAACCCTGACTTGTGAAAAATAGCAAAGGTACCAAAGTTTCAGTCATCCCTTGACCTTTTCTCTGTCTAGTTTGAGCAAAGGTGTCATTGTTTAAGAAAACTGTGTGAATTCGTTTTTTGTGGTTATCATGGTTTTTGTTATGTCACCTTGACTTGATCATGAGTCTCAGTGTTATTTAATGATCCTCCATTTTATGATCTAATGGAAATGACGTTTCCTTGTGGGTGTGGCCTACATCCAATATATATGAATATTCTGGCAAAGCTCACCCCACCCATCTTGATCCTGCACCCACCTTGTTATCCTCTAACCTCCTCAAAGGCAGTGAGTGAGATACACCCTGGGATGGAGCCTGGAGCATCATCTGAAGCAAATGTCTTACAAGATGCTGTTGAATGTCCCCTGGAGCCACCCCATCCATCCATTTTTAATTCTAGAACCTGTAACTAGACTTAAGTCCTAGGGAATCCTAAGAGGTTAATTGCAAAATGTGAACCAGAAGAAGATGCCTTTCATTCCAAAATAATTTCTTGATTTTTCTAATTTTTCTAATATAGGGATCCCTGGGGGTGCTGTAGGATAACCATTGGTTAATGGTCCAAACCCACCAGCAACGCCACAGGAGAAAGATGAGGCTGTCTGCTCCCATAAAGATTTACAGTCTTGGAAACCCTAACTAGGGTCACCATGACTCAGAATTGACTCAATCGCAGTAGGTTTGGGGTTGCAAAAATGGCATGGAGGCCGTGTCTGACTTGCTCTGAATGAGGTCAGACATGCCTTCACCCTACAATCTTCTTTATCCTATTCTGATACCAATGGTTCCGCCCTCAATATCTACTTCTCTGCTGTGTTCAATAATCCCATTGCCATGGTCAAACAACTTATAGAAAATACTCATGATAATGAAGTTGATTAAGGAAGTGGCCAGGGTGCAATACAAGATCAGAAATAACTCAGGATGCAACAATCAGGAATACCTCTTCTCTGCCGTACTGCAGACATGCCTTGCTCTTATTTTTGGCCTCTCAGTCTTTTGACCCTTTGGCCACTGCCCTTCTTTGGCAAGTGTTACAAAGCTCCTTTACTGCTGTCTGTAAATGCCCAAAGGACACATT